TAATAGTCAAATCTGCACCTAGTTATGCTAGGTAAGAATATTCTAGGTCAAGATAAAGTATTAAATAAAAAGAAGTTCTAGAGTTTACCTGACTAATAATGAGACTCACTGAAATCACTGTATTAAGTGATTGGCATGAAATACCAGAAGATAGCTCAAACATTTTTTCTGGTTTTGAACAGTGGATATGTCTCACTGACATATGGCAGTAACAAATCATGACTATTTCTGTCATATTGTGAAGCAGTGGTCATGGGATTCTCCCGAAAATTGTCTGGCAGACTAGAAGAGTTGTATGTGATGTCCTTACTCTTGTAAACCTTGACTCAAATTTAGTTCAAATGATCTGGACTATATTAGTGAATTATGATATCATAAGCATTTCCTTTGCCCCTTACTTAGAAAAAGGAGTCTTTATGTCTAATTTACGCTATTTAGTTTATTATGTTGACGTGAATTTTAAAGCACATTGGGAGTGAATAGTCTCTCATTCTCTGTGATACTAATCAATAAATTGCTTTTGTCGATACTGCATGTGCATCCATTCAAATATACAGGGCGATTTATGCAAATATAACTGTTCTACAAATATCTCATCATCTGAGAAAATCATGTTACAGTCCTTTCTGAAAGTTCAACAAGGAGCAGCAGCCATGCATATTTAAATATCTCATGACTATACATGAGACGAAAATTATTGAGGTTTTCTGACAGCTTAGAGAAACTGTGTGTAAGCCTTCATGTCCCAGACAAATTAGATGGCCCTCTGCTGAAGGATGGATTCTTTTTCTGACATCCTTGTCTTGATTTGTTCTATCAGAGTCTGACAAAGGAGCGTGCACCCCATGTTCTATGTGTGGTGGAGATCTTTGAGGCTCCAGTTTTACAAGCAGCCTTTGGTTGAGGACTTAAGTCTAAACTTTGGAACTAAAGCATTTTGACAGAGTGAAACTCTTACAGACGTTTATAAAGAAGAAGAACCACAATCTTCAAAATCAAACTGTTTAGAAAGAATGGAAGTAACTCCTTGGAACCTTCCAGCAGAACAAAGAAACAACATCGAGCTTATGCTCGTGCTCTCCCCCCACCCTCACACACACACACCACATACATAGGACAACTTGAATAGCTCACTTCCTTTTCTTGTTATGCTTCTTACATGATGGAAGCATATTAGTAAGAAGAGCAACCATAACTCAAAAAGACACATGCACCCCAATGTTCATCTCAACACTATTTACAACAGCCAGGTAATGGAAGCAACCTAAATGCCCATCGACAGACGAATGGATAAAGAAGATGTGGTACATATATACAATGGAATATTACTCAGCCATAAAAAGGAACGAAACTGGGTCATTTGTAGGGATGTGGATGGACCTAGAGACTGTCCTACAGAGTGAAGTAAGTCAGAAAGAGAAAAACAAATATCGTATATTAACACGTATATGTGGAATCTAGAAAAATGGTACAGATAAACCAGTTTGCAAGGCAGAAATAGAGACACAGATGTAGAGAACGTATGGACACCAAGGGGGGAAAGCAGGGGCGGGGGGTGGTGGTGGGATGAATTGGGAGATTGGGATTGACATATATACACTAATATGTATAAAATAGATAATAAGAACCTGCTGCATAAAAAAATTAAATTAAACGTAAAAAGGAATAAACATACATCCCCAAAACAAAAAACCCAAAAATAGATAAATAAATATCATTCAAATTAAGAAAAAGAATAGCAACTCAGCTATTCTATATAATTATATATATATGTATATTTATATATATATATAATTTTATATATATATAAAAATAACCTTTGAGTTATAACTAAAGGCAAATGTTATCTATCACTAGTTATTTTCAAACTTTTGAAACTCAAGCAAAAATGCTACTGATTTATAGGAAACTAGTGAGGAAAACTAAGAATTAGGTGTCACTGGGTGTTGTGTTCCCCATACATGATCTTATTTATTTTACCAACCTGATCATCATTAATCTCACTCTCTATATTAGGAATCTGAGAACTTGGAAAGTTCAATCATGTGTCAAAAGTTGTACAGCACAAAAGCAATGGAGCCCATTATTCAAATCCAGGTCTTTCTGATACCTCAGTGCTTGCTTATGTATATGCCACACTGCCTCTCCCACAGATACACCTTGGCTTGTATCTTTCTTGAGGGTAAGGTTCTAGAAGCAGCAGGCAAAGGAAAAAAGTAAACATTGAAAATGACCCTTGAAAATTCCCTAAAATTCCCTAAGTATGCATACTTCCCCGAAATTCCAAAAGGGCAAATTTTAAAAATCTTTTTTCTTTGTATTCTGAATTAGAATATATTGCTGTTTCTTTGACTGAAAATCAGAGGAAGTAGTTGGATTCTTCTTAGAGGTCGTGGAATATGAATATGTATCTCTACACACCGGAATCACCTTTGGGTTAGCAAGATGCTCACAATATGAGAGGCCCATAGAAGTGACACCCACTGGAGAAATGATGGAATCATGTTTCCCATCTCAGGTTTTTTTTGAAGTAATACACACACTGAGTTATAAACTTACCATACTCTATTTCAATTATAATTCTCCCTCCTCTTTATTTCCTCTTTTTTGAAGGGATGGGTAGGGAGTTGAATGCAGGGGTGTTTGTTAAGCACACAAGTGAATTCACTTAAATTAACTGCACATATGCTACGGTGCCAGAGAAATTTAATATGAATACACATCAACTATCATGATACTTAAGGTGAAGAAGAACCGACTGCAAGACATTAGCTGAACCCTCAATGTTTTCTGGCATTTCAGCAGCTGGCTGTTTAGTTATACTCATCCCCAAATTCAAACGCTTTCAGATTGAAGGATTTCATCCAAAATGGCTGCCAATAATACAATTAATGAGTTGGGTCATTTCAATAAATTGATATGATTAGCTAAAATTATGAGCTGGGGAGCTCAGACCATATTACCCAAACTCTTCCTTTTTGAAGAGTCATACAGCAGACTCATATCTTAAGTTTTCACTAAGTGACACCAGGAATAAACAACTTTACGAAACTCACCACTGACCTGTCTATAGAGTACAGTCTTTTATAAAGGCCAACATTTGCCTTGATCCTGTCCTTATTGAACAGTCAACATGATTTTGACCTTCTGAACACTATACATTTTGTAACAAAATGGGTAGGGTCCTTTGCTTTGTCCAGTACAACGTGCAGTATTAAACTTGAGATCCACTTGCAGCAATTATGTAGAACAAAAAGCTATCTGAACTTTATTTCTGAGCTTTATCTTACTATTTTACCCATATCTTCTCTTCCTATTGGCTATTACGCCCATATTTTAGATATGTCTTTAAGCGGGCCTCTCACATTATTCTGGTCAAAGCAGGAGTCAAAGAAAAAAAGAAAGAAACAAACACATAGCTATCAAAAGTGGTTAGGCTTTTCTTTAAAGATTCATGAATTCAGTTGTTAACGAGTCTTAAAAATCGCAGCACGCAAGACGCAAGGCCAGAGTTAAGATTTCTTCCCTTATCAGAAAGTTTTTCGCTGAATTATAGCAGAAATGTTTCCCTTAGAAACAAAGCAGCTGGGACTACAGTAGTGACTCAGACGACACCACCTCTCTTAGAGTCCACGGGACAAGACAGAAATCAACAGCAGCAGCAAATTATGCTAATGTGTGATAACTACTGTGGGAGGAGCCACTAGAAACACAAGACCAAGCAGACAGAATCCAGGAAGTTTTGTGTGCATGTTTGCTTGAACCTAGAAATGGCGTTTAGGATGAGCCCTGTAAATGACTAGGAGCTCGGCAGTCAAAGGTGTTAACAGTGACAGTATTTCAGCCAGAAGGAAGAGTACAAGACTGACCCAGCCCTCCAATGAAATTTTCAAATTAGAGATCATGATAAGGTGCCGAGTTAAAAGCACAAGATTCATAAACAAGTTGGGGCTTCCTTATTTCAGTAGCCATGTAAAGACACACCATCTATATGCGGGAGCATTACATGCCTGAGGATGTCTGTAGTCTGAAAGCAAAATACTCAAAGCCATGTCTTCAGGATTTATGACATCTTTCCTCGTGAAAAGAACCTCTGTTTCTATTGCCTTGCTTGTTTGTTTCCTTTATGGTTAGTTAACTATTCTGGGCAATGACAAGTTGGATAATATTCTTACCATCAAAACTGAGGACCAGACTTTAGTCTAAGAGCTTTATAGGAATACCCAAGCATGCATTTAAAAAATATATATATGTTTACTAGATCCAATATTTCCATATGGGGAAGCCTGTGTATTTATTGTCATGATTCCTAAGTTTGAAGAGTTTGTCTCGTTTTTTCAAAATCTGCCCGATGGAAGCCAGCTGGCCAAACATTCGAACCCATTACCTCCATTTTGAGCTTATTAAACATACATAAAAGAATCTTCTGCAAATGCTACCTAACAGAACTGTCTTTCTCAAAAGAATCTAAAGTTTCAAAGACTATCTAAGTACATTCTACTTCCTGGATAATTTACTTAATTTTGTTTTGGCCAAGTCACTCAGAGCCCTCAGTGTCATTCCCCTTCAAAGCAAAGTGTCCCTGTGGTTGGGTTCTCACAATTTAAACAATTCTCTCCATTTTGGAGACCGGCGGAGAGAAATGACACATGAAGAGGCACATTTAGCCACACTTGCTCATGTTTCCATAAACAGCCTGCAATCCACACTATTATCTATTACACAGAAGTCAGATATCAATTTTAATACCTATTTTTTCCTCTCCATTTCTTCCACTAATACTTAAAGGGATTTCAGTTTCATAGTTGTGAAAGTATTCTCTTCCAAAACAACAAAGCATTTTACATGAAGACTTTGCAAATTTACTTCACAGGCAAGGGGGAACTTGAGAGTAGGGATAGTGCGATTACCAATAGTGTTTGTTTAATGAAGAGTGAAAGAGCTCTACAAGCCACAGACATTCAAAGAGGGTCATCTTGATCATTGCAATCTCTTCCTACCTGCCTCTTTGGAAATCTGCGTGAAGGATTCCACACCTTTCTCTCCATAACTTCCTTCCGATGCGAGAGTAGACACATAATTCCAACCCAGAGCCTTTACGATGTCTACCATGGCCTGGGCTTGGAAGGAATCGGGCGGGACCACACGAGAGAAGAAGTCATAGCGACGGTCATCACTTAACTCGGGTGCCGTTGATGCATAACTAATCTGGGGGATCTGAAAAGATAAGAAATCACCACATGAGGGCACGCCATCAGGATGTGAGAGATTCACGTATACTTATGACAATTTACTTAAAATACAGGGCTTGAGCTCCAAAGGGGAAGCGTGTTTTGCCACATATAGCATGGAAGTGTAGACCACCTAAATGCAACCAACCACCTCTTAACAGCACAAGAAGCATCTACTTTTATGCTTTGGCCTTTTATTCTCCTCTTGGAGAAAGGAATGGGAATGGAATGGCAATTACACAGAGCATGATGGTTGGGAGGAAAAATAATTTGAACCATTCTGGCTAACATTGTGAATCATGCTTTACTTCTTATACATTAATAGAAACAAAAGACACAACAGCCTAACTGGAGTGTGTATAGAGATTGGTTTAGTTGACACATCTCATGAATACTGGTAGACGTCATTAGTCACCTAACATCGATTGAGTGCTGATCACCTATGAGGAAATATCTAAGTAAGCTGCGTGCATTACTTAATTTATTCTTCACAAGAACATTATGAAGTATTGATAGCTCACTAATACCCTTAGACCCAGGTAAGCGGGTTCCCTGCCCCAACACCATCATTTCAGCTCTTCTGGCACTTTGGAGGGCCTTTCTCAAAATTTTTTAAGTTTCATTTGGATGCTGAGAGAGAGATGACAGTCCTGATTGAGTGGAGCCACGTGGACCTCTGATTCCCATTTTTTTGCCTTTAGAGAATTCTCTGACCCTCTACTGCACGTGGGATTAACCAGATGTCTCAAGGAGTTCTAGAACTTGTGCCTAAACGAATCATCCTAGAGCAGGACCCTGGTTCCAAGAGGACAATTTAATGAGCAGATTATTCCTCTTGACGGGCACAGTATTTATTTCTCAGGATCATTTCAGATTACACTACCTGAGTAGTCCTGACATGCTGATTTTAGTTAAAGAAAATTATGCATTTAGAAAGAAACCTTGAAAAGAAAATATTTACCCAGGATCCCAAATACTCTAAGAGAAGACCTGAAGCAGCCATAGATGAGAAGCACGGCTTAGGGTCTAACGTCAGGATCCCTAAGCTAGTTACTTTGACAAAGAATGCTCCCCAGTTGCTTCTCTTACCACTAGCATGCAGAAGACTATGAGAGGTATGATTTATCTACCTGTAAGAATGATCAACTCCTACAAAATTCTGGTTGTAAACTCTCCCAGGACTTACCCTTGTTTTAGCATAAAGATGTCTCATATATCTAAAAGCCAGTTTTGATCTTTGCTCAGACAAAGCCCAACAGTGCAACTCTTTGCCCCAAAGATGTCAAAGCTACACTCAATTCTTTGAGCCCTGATAATTCTACTCAATATTAACCTGCTTTTCTCTTTTCAGGGCAGTTTGCCTCAAGTTTACCCATTTGACATTGTTTAAAGCTGGTTACCACCTCTGTAAAGCTCATTTCTCCACCAGCCTTTCTATGTGAACATTACAGTCGAGTCTTGCCCTGACGGTAGACGACCCACCATTTTCCACGCAGCCCATCCCTGATGCAGTTCTGCTCTATGACCACCAGGGGCAGGCTCTCCGTTCCTGACTCGAAATCCAAAGCCACCGTGAGAAAGCCTCCAAGTCTCCTGACGGTCTGCACCTGAGTAACTCCTCAATTATAGGGGTAGTGAAGTGCAGTAGAAATAAAACGGGATTTGGTATTGAGAAGATCAGGAATCGAAGCCTCATGTTTCTGTTCACTAGTGTTTACTGTGGTGAATATTTCACCTCACTGAGTTGGTTACATTATTAATTAGTTTGTTTAGATTAATTAGATTGTTTAGAGGGGCAGGAATAACAAATGTGCATTGCTTAGCATGATGCCTGGGACAGTGTGGGTACTTAATACATGGGGTAACGACAATCAGAAGAGAGAAAAGCGTGTGTTTTCTTACTAAGTTTATGCATTCTCCACATTTGACTTCCCAAGTTCTCTGTGACACATTAGCAAAAACATTTCCCTCACTGTCCTAAGAAAATGTTTACATATTCCTATAATTATTGCTTTAGAAATAGTATGTACTATTTATTTAACTCTTTACCATGTGGCAAGAATATTCTAAAAGTTTGGGGTTTATTTTTAATGTTTTAAATTGTATTTATTTTTATTTAAGTATAGCTGATTTACAATATCGTCTTAGTTTCAGGTGTTCAGCACAGCGATTCAGTTATATATATATATATATATATATATGAAACTTTTCAGATTCCTTTCCCTTATAGGTTATTACAAAATATTGAGTATATTTCCCTGTGCTATATAGTAGTTCTTTGTTGGTTACCATTATCACTAAAAGTTTTATATGCATTACCTTATCTAACCAACAGTAAAAAGTCTTCACTATACTTTATTATACTATACTATTATTAAGTCATTTTACAAAAGAAGAAATTGAGACTTGAAAGTAGACTATGACCTTGCCTTAGGTCACAAAGTTGTAAGACAGAGCAATACTCAAACCTGACACAGCCTAATGCAAACTTCTAAACTCTTAACTATGATACTTTGCTGAATTGTTGCTAAAACATTTGAACAATAAGCATAAAATAACGAAGGGTATTAGATTACTGTAGTCTAGGCCAAGTTCTGTCCACAGTACTGACTACAGAGCCACTGAAAGCAATTTTACAGGTCATCCTTAGACTGTCGTTAAAACATTTTATATAAATGTCTTATTAAAATTCATACAAATGTGTGAAAAGATTGAGTTTCCTATGTTTCATTTATAGTTCAAGGGTTATAAATTTTAGGTGAAAAATATCAACTGAATAAAGGCTTTGGACGAAAATTAAAGGGAAGGAGGGAGGGAGGGGCGGAGGGAGGGAGAGAAATACCTTTTCTTACAAGAAATAAAAAAGGAAGAAGCCAAGCATGGCGATACATTTCCATCAATTTCAACTTGAGGAAATGCAAAATCTTTGTGCTGTTGCACAGATACCTTCCCTGCCGAAATCCCTTTCTACCTTTGAACAAGTGCTAATGAAGATACATCCAGCCCTCTACTTAAATTAGCATTTATGTAGCTGTGGTAAAACATCGCGATTGTGAAATGCCTCCACTGCAAATGCATTTTCTAAACTGTGCCCCAAATTTTAGTAATGAAGATCCTGGTGAAGCAGATTTATTTCCTCACTACCCATTGAAATGATTGCTATCAGTAGTTTATCCCTTCCATTATAAATAACAAACACCTACCAGCTAAAGACTCATATGTCCCTTTAGGATCACACACACATCCTATATTCAGGGGTAATTATTTGTACATTACGCATATAATGATGCTAGAATAAGAAACGAACAACCAAACGGATTTCATTTCTGAGATAAAAATATGGCTATATAAGGAAATTCTGCCCAGCAATAGGAGATGAAGAACAGCAAGAATGTATGTAACCTATGAAATATGCTCTGTTACTTATCAACTATTATCCTGTATATTTAGTTACTTGTTTTCAAACAAATGCTTAAGTCTACAGGGTAATTATTTGAAAGTATGTATATAACTGGTACCTGGAACTGACCAAATTATTATAAGTCTTCTTTAGTGATTAACTGACACTCCCCTTGATATCATAGCTATACTTTCTTCTTCTGCTGTTGAATCTCTACCCTCTTGCCAGTCTCCTTCAGAAATGTAGAACTGATCTTTTGATGAAGACAATTTAGTATAATCAAACTTCTGCAACATGAAAATAAATATCCCATCTCCCTTTGAGCCTTCCTTTCCCCAATTTAAAAACCAAAAAATTTTCATCTTTATTGTAGGACTTAATTTTCATCTCATTGTATTTTGTTGTTCTTTACTCTTTATAAAAAATTTGCCTCTCACACAAAAATGGTTTTGGTAATGTTGAGCACCAAATAAGGTTAAAAACATCTCACACCTTTAAATTATCATTTGAAATTTATGTAGGCATTTTTCACAGAACTAGAAAAATTTCACAATTTGTATGGAAACGCAAAAGACCCCGAATAGCCAAAGCAATCTTGAGAACGAAAAACGGAGCTGGAGGAATCAGGCTCCCTGACTTCAGACTATACTACAAAGCTACAGTAAGCAAGACAGTATGGTACTGGCACAAAAAGAGAAATATAAATCAATGGAACAGGACAGAAAGCCCAGAGATAAACTCACGCACATATGGTCACCTTATCTTTGATAAAGAAGGCAAGAATATACAGTGGAGAAAAGACAGTCTCTTCAATAAGTGGTGCTGGGAAAACTGGACAGCTACGTGTAAAAGAATGAAATTAGAATACTCCCTAACACCATACACAAAAATAAACTCAAAATGGATTAAAGAGCTAAATATAAGGCCAGACACTATCAAACTCTTAGAGGAAAACATAGGCAGAACACTCTATGACATCAATCACAGCAAGATCCCTTTTGACCCACCACCTAGAGAAATGGAAATAAAAACAAAAATAAACAAATGGGACCTAATGAAACTTCAAAGCTTTTGCACAGCAAAGGAAACCATAAACAAGACCAAAAGACAACCCTCAGAATGGCAGAAAATATTTGCAAATGAAGCAACTGACAGAGGAGTAATCTCCAAAATTTACAAGCAGCTCATGCAGCTCAATAACAAAA